CAAATAGCTGGAACTACAGGCGTGCGTTACCACGCCCGGCTAATTTTTGATTTATTGTAGAGATGCGGTCTCGCCAAGTTGCCCAGGAGGGTCTCGAACCCGCGGGCTCAGGCAATCCACTCGCCTCAGCCTCCCAAAGGCGCGGGATTGCAGGCTGAGCCACCGAGCCCGGCTAAAGATCAAATTGATAATAGTGATTGTAAAGTGGGCAAGAAGAGTTATGGGGTAGGGAAGAAGCTAAACTGTAATTTTGTCTGTCGTAGTTTCTTTTTGATTTTTTAATTTTTTTTAGATGAAAAAGATTAGTTTATTTAAAAGTAAATTAGAGGGAGAAAGAGAAGAGAGAGAGGAGATTCACCTCCCCAAGTTGGGGGAGGGGCCGAAGCCGGGAAGCATAGTGACAGCCATCTCTCAAAGAGCACATGGCCACACCAGAGTCTAGCAAGGCAGTGGCCCTCTTTTTTATTTTATTTTTTTGAAAAAGAAACTTGATGTAAATGTTTACACTTTTCATTTCTGAGAGATGGGGGATATGTGTATATTTGATTATAGTTTTGTATATATTTTTTCAAAATATGAATCCATTAACTACACTTAGAAAAAATAAAGGGCCAGGTATAGTTTTACACCACTTGGGCAAGGTATCACATATTTGTAATCAATCACTGTTTATCCAACCCTGGGTTTGCCTCATCCTTGAGGAGGCTTGGCCACTCTAATTCTACGTCCTTGTGCCTGGGTTGGGTCACTGTTGCCCGCAGTGTCCATAACTCTGCAGCGTTGTGATTTGGGCTGGTTTGGCATCACACATCTTTGCTTCTTTCCAGAGTATAGAGCTCGTTCTAGGATCTGTTAAAAAAAAAACATAACTAGGCCGAGCGCGGTGGCTCACTCCTATAATCCCAGCACTTTGGGAGGCCAAGGTGAGAGGATTGCCTGAGCTCACGGGTTCAAGACCAGCCTGGGCAAATTGGCAAGACCTCATCTCTACAATAAATAAAAAAAAAAAATTAGCGAGGCATGGTGGCACATGCCTGTAGTTCCAGTTACTTGGAAGGCTGAGGCGAAAGGATCACCTGAGCCCAGCAGGTTGAATCAGGATCGCCTGAGCCCAGCAGGCCGAGTGTGCCACTGCCCTCCAGCCTGGGCAACAGAGTGAGACTCCAACTTAAAAAATGAAAACAAAAAAATGAAAACAAAAAACATGACCGATTCTTCACACCTCAGAGACTCTGTCCTTATATAGCAATAGCAACCAGGCATCTACACTAGGACAGAGACAGGGAATAAGAACTATGTTTGTTTGTTTGTTTTAAATCTGTAGCCCAACAATAACCTCTGAGGGTGGTGGTGGTGGGAATAGCCACTGCATCTGACTTAGCAGTTGCTTCACTTGCTATGTGCCAGGCATTGGGCTTAGCTCTTTGCATGGCTTATCTTAATTCTTATTACAAATCTTGAGATAGGAGCCATTATACCCATTTTACAGATGAGAAAAATGGGACTCAAAGATTATATAATTTGTAGCAAGGCACGGCAGAGCTGGGATTTGAAACCTGGTCTGTTTGATGCGAAACCCGTTCCCTTGAGTGAGAAGTAGGGCCTGTTGTCACGCAACGTGCTGTCTTTTGGTGATAGCAACTCTGCTTTTCCTCTTTGAGGATGTCCCTGGTGTGTTCTAAACAGTCTCATCTTGTATAAAAATATTGGTTGCGGCAAGGTCAGCATTCGTTGGTACACACCGACCTGACCTAGTCACTTCTTCATATGTCAAACTTCTTATATTGGAAAATTGTCAGCCCCCTGTACTCCCTGAGTGTCCCCTACCCTCTGGCATCCTGGTTCCTCTTCCAGAACTCCCAGACTGTCCCTAAAATACAGCACCCAAAAGGTTAACCCCTGGACACACACACACACACACACACACACACACACACACACACACACCTCCAGTGTTAAAGGCCAATGTGGAATCCATACTTACCACCTGAGACCTGGGTCTTACATCTTGCTAAATACTTGGAGCATCTCCATTGGAGAAAAGGGCAGTTATTTTCCTGGCTTTGCACCACACTGCGGAGACGACACATGCACTAAGGAGACTTCCTGGCCTTTGGCTGTCACGCTGTCAGTGCAGGGGAGACAGAGTCCACTCTGGTCCCCGATTCCCGGTGCTTTCCCCTCCATGTACATGGTTGCTGAAAGAGCATAATTAGTTCAATTGTGGGGAGACGCTGCTGGCTTCTTTGAAACCTTCTGCTAGGCTGATGTATTTTCCTTCTTGATTAGAAGTTTTCTTGGCTGCTCTTCTAAGTTACTCCAAATATTTCTCCTGCCTTCTGGTCAATACATTAGCAGGGTGTAGTGTGAAATGAAATTTATTTTCAATTATATCCATAGCAACTGGTCCCTCTAGAATCTGTTTTTGGTATCACTGATGTTTTATATGGGCTATTTTCTTTGCAGTTAAAAATCCAAACTGAAACCAAACTATAAACCTTCAGAATGAATTTAGCAGAATGATTTCAACTCTTACTAAAAAAAGACTAGAAGGAACTATGCCTAAGAGTTAACAGTGATTGCCCTTCTATTGAGATTATGTGTGAATGAATTCTCTTATTTCTACTTTCCTTTTAACTGACTAGTGCTACTTTAAAAAAAATTAATAGACTTACGTTTAGAGCAGTTTTAAGTTTGTACAAAATTGAACAGATAGTACAGAAGTTCCTACATGCCCCTTCTCTCCTTCTCCCGCTACAGTTCCCCCTGTTATTAACTACCTTGTATTAATGTGGTACATTTGTTATAAGGGATGAATTACTATTGACACATTATTGGTAACTCTAGTCCATAGTTGAGAGGTCACTCTTGGTATTATACATTGTATGGGTTTTGACAAAAGTATAATGTCATGTATCAACCATTACAGGATCATACCAGTGAGTTTCACTGCCCTAAAAATTCCCTTTGCTCCACCTGTTAACCACCCCCAACTCCTGTCAACCACTGATCTTTTTACTGTCTCCATAGTTTTGTCTTTTCCAGAATGTCGTATCGTTGGAATAGTATTATGTAGCCTTTTCAGATGGGTTTCTGTCATTTAGTAATATGCACTTAAGGTTCCTCCATGTCTTTTTGTAGCTTGATAACTTGTTTATTCTTATCATTGAGTAATATTCCATTGTCTCAATGTACCACAGCTTGTCCATTTATCTACTGAAGGACTTGGTTGCTTCCGGTTTAGGGCAAGTGTGAATAAAACTGATATAAGCATCTGTGTTCAGGTTTTTGTGATTATATGTTTTCAACTCATTTGGATTAATATCTAGACACATTATTGCCGGATCATATGTTAGGGTAGGTTTGTAAGAAACTGCCAGATGTCTTCTAGAGTGGCTGTACCATTTTGCATTCTCACCAGCAATGAATGAGAATTCCTGCTGCTTTACATCCTCATCAACACTTGGTATTGTCAGTTTTTTTTTAGTCACTCTAATAGGTGCACAGTAGTGTCTCACTGATGTTTTAATTTGCAGTTCCCTAATGATGTATGATGTTGAACATGCTTTTGTATGCACCTTTGGTGAAGTGGTTGTCCAGATCTTCCACCTTTTCAAAAAATGTTTTCTTCCCAGTCTGTGGTTTGGTTTTTCATTCTCTCAACAGGGTCTTTTGCAGGGGGGAAGCTTTTAATTGTAATGAAGCCTAACTTATCAATTTTTTTTTCATGGATCATGCCTTGGGTAATGTACCTTAAAACTCACTTTCAAACCCAAGGTCACCTAGATTATCTTCTAGAGGTTTTATGTTTTACATTTAGGTATATAATCCCTTTTGAGTTAACTTTTTGTCAAGGGTGTAAGGTAAGTGTCTAGATTAATTTTTTTTTCACATGTGGATGCCGTGTGGGTGGACTATCCTGTCTCTATCGAATTGCTTTTGTGCCTTTGTCAAATGTCAATTGACTATATTTGTGTGAGTCTATTTCTGGACTCTCTTTTCCATTCCATTGATTTGTTTGTGTATTCTTTTTTCAATACCACATGATCTTGTTTATTGCAGGCTTATAGTAAGTCTTGAAGTTGGGTAATGTCTTTCTTCCAACTTTTTTTATTTTGTAATTTTTTAATTTTAATTTTAATTTTTTGAGTTGGATTCTCACTCTCTCATCCAGACTGGAGTGCAGTGGCTGCTCCCAGCCACCTCAGCCTCGACCTGCTGGGCTCCGGCGATCCTTCCGCCTCAACCG